ATATTACTAAAGGAAATAAAAGCAACACCTGAGTTTATGTCTTGAGGTTGACATAAGTGCCAGAACCAATAGGAATATTTTCCTACTGCAATCAATTTTAAAATAAGGGAGCTGGGAAATGGGCCACTGCATTAAAAATCTGATGAAAAAGTTGTAGTCTTTTATTTTTGTTCAGTGCAAAAACACTGATCTTTGGATTAAAAGAGAAACCATCTTTTCTTCACAGGATACCATCAGAGAATTAAGGTTTCTTATGCTTTTTTTGGAGAGCAAGAAGCACATGGAAAGGAACAAGATATGTATTTGCAACATTTATATAGTAAGTATGAATTCAATACTCCATCCAAGATCTCCATCAACTCATATGGTTCCAGGGAATACTTAAGTTAGTAAGACTCTGAGGCTGTATTCAATCTTTGGCAGACTGCGTTGATTCAGTGAAATGATTGAAATAGGCTGTATAATAACTCTTAATGACAAGAAAATACAATTGACTTCAACATCGAAACCTACAGAATCAAACTGTGACTCTAGACACAGGTAGTCACAGAAATGCCTGGGATTGACCAAATCCTATGGAATGGCTCAAATTCTCCAAGTTGGGGGTCATAGCTCTTGAAAACCATTTGTGCATCCATGAACTGTATTCCTATAAGTACTATTAAGGCTCCCCATAGCCATCCTGGGTTCTATCAGTATGGTGGTGCCAAACACATAAGATGCATCACAAAAGTGTCCAGGTATGGAAAAATTTGTCTCAAGACATTAAGTATTATGGGTCTCAGTGGTTTGCTCCACCAAAATGTAATTGCCCAGCAGCTCTGGCTGCTCACTTCCCCACTGTCTGTTCTCAAGTAATCTGGAGACGGATCAACCCATTTCAATTCATCCAGAAAGTTCAGACTCCTTAGTAAACCAGGTTCTAGTTCTTATACCAGAACACTCATATACTATGGGATCCAGAAATCATGCACTGCTTGTCCCTCTCCTTTGTCAGTTATAATAGATGCAGAACTGTGTCCTTCCCTTCACTGCATATTTACTAACCACCATCACCTTTTCTATCCTATCCAAGTGAGGAAGGGATCTTCTGTTGAGATGGTCCAAAGCCCTCTCCAAAGCACTTATGACTTTATCTTGCATTGGCTTGGTTTTCATCTTTGGCTCCTAAAGCATTTGTCACCAGATTAATAAGCTCAAGGACAGAACCTGTGTCTTGTTTGTCTTTGTAACACCAAGAGTGCATGACATATAGGAGATACTTAAATACTTGTTAAATGGTGGAGTGGGAGGGGGAGAAAGATGAAAAAAGTAGAGAATTATCATTAAAATAAAATGCCCAGTAAGAACAGAAAGGAGAAAAATATGACAAATGGTGAATTAATTTGAGAAATGTCTACTCTAAAAATCATAACCTTATGATATCTACACACCAAGAGTTCAATACTAGTATGACCTGAAAATAAAGCTGACAAGTTTTCTAAAGGATGTTACAAACCATAGTACAAACAATGTAGTAACATTTTGGAAGACATTAAACTATATATGTAGAAGCTGTCACACCACACTCCACTATAATTACATAACATCAAATATCTGCATCTAAATTTTCAAGATTCCAAAAATAGAAAAAAGTATTTTAGATTACATTGACATCAAAATAATAAGGGATCCAAGTAACCTCACTTCTGAATATTCACCCAGAATATTTTAAATCAGGTAAGTTAAGTGATGTCTACATTCTCACGTTCATTGCAGCACTATTCACAATATTCAAGTCAATATAAGGGCCTATCAACAGATGAACAGATAAAGAAAATGTGATAAAAACACACACAATGGAATACTACTAAGTCTTTAAAAAAAAAGGCAAGAAAATTTCATTTGCAACAACACTGATGGAATTGGAAATGGAAACACTAGCTTTACTGAAGTAAGGCAAACACCAAATGAACTCATAGACACAAAGCAGAATGGTAGTTACAGGGGCTGGGGGGCAGGGAAAAGGAGAGATGATAATCAAAATGCACAAAACCTCCTGGATAGCAGGAATGAGATTTCTCTCTCTCTTTTTTTTTATTTGACAGGCAGAGTGGACAGCGAGAGAGAGAGACAAAGGTCTTCCTTTGCGTTGGTTCACCATCCAATGGCTGCCGCGGCCGGCACACCGCGCTGATCCGAAGGCAGGAGCCAGGTGCTTCTCCTGGTCTCCCATGCAGGTGCAGGGCCCAAGTACTTGGGCCATCCTCCACTGCACTCCCAGGCCACAGCAGATTGCTGGCCTGGAAGAGGGGCAACCGGCGCCCCAAATGGGACTAGAATCCGGGATGCCGGTGCCGCAGGCGGAGGATTAGCCTATTCAGCCACGGCGCCAGCCTCTCTCTTTTTAAAAGATCTGCTGCAGAATGGTGAATATAGCCTAATAGTTGAATACTGTTCATTTCAATGCTGCTCAGTTCTTGAATACTCTCATCACAGAAGTCAAATATCTGACGTGACAGATGGCTTAGCTGGCTTGGTATGGTCATTTTACATTGTAATCAAAAATCCTAACATCACTTTGTGTTCTATAAATATGTACAGCTACAATTTGCCAATGTATAATTTAAAAGTAAATTTTAAAAAATAATAAGGTATTTCAGGCAGGCTAATGATGTACCTCAAGTAATTGCATTTAAGGTTAAGAGTGATGCTCTGTTTTCTGGCACTTTATAAAAATTATCAACAATTATGGAGTTAAGTATGTTTTACTTTCTTGGTTCTTAAGATTCAATTTATCCATTAGATTAACATGCTAGCTTCTATTGTCTTTTTGTTCTTGAGCAAGGAATGATTTATTAGCCATGGTACTACATTTATGAGCTTTTCTCATTTCAACTTGAAGAAACTGCAAATATTTATAGAAGATGAGCCACATGTATTTGTTCCTGAAAAATGTCAGAATATAGCACTCAAATCCAATGCTGAACAGAAGCTCTTCCCTAACACTACAGACTGTGGCAATTTAATTTCCATTGACATGTTTTCCTAAACAGTTTTTCCCTACTACAATAAATCCTAAATCAAACACAACTGAAATCTTCCATTAAGTGTATACTCACGTATTACTGCATTAAAGGATCATATAAATCGTAACAAATTTAAGAACTGCAACTTTAAAAAAAATAAACTGAGTTTTGTGAAAACAGTAATTAAGGTTACATTTGAACTGAGTTTTCCTTCCTTTCATTTTGCTCTTTGATACTTTAAAAATGCTTTTAACTCAGCAATAAACAAACCAACAGAGTAGAAAGTCCATGAGGGTGAGTACGGGGGTTTTACATCTCAGTGCATCCTAACATAGTCACACACTAAGATCAGGAATTATCACGAGTAGAGATGCAAAGCAGCAGAACCTTTCCTGAAGGTAATTTAGCAACACAGGCAAAAAGCCTTAAAATATTACATATCCTTTGACATGTAAGTCCACATTTAGAAATTTACTCAAGGAAAATAATGACACAGACAATCAAGTACTTGGATTCTAGAAAGTTCAAGGCCCTGAGTTTTTGGGTTTAAAAAAAAGATTTTAGAGAGACACAGACAGAAAAGTCTTCCACCCGTTGTTTCACTCCCCAAGTGGCCTCAATGGCTGGAGCTGGGCCAATCTGAAGCCAGGATCCAGGAGCTTTTTCTGGGTCTCCTATGTGGGTGCAGGGGCCCAAGCACTTGGGCCATCTTCCACTGCCCTCCCAGGCCACATGCAGGGAGCTGGATCAGACATGCAGTAGCCAGGACTCAAACTGGCACCAATATGGATACCAGTGTTGCAGGGGATGGCTTTACCTGCTAAGCCACAGTGCCAGCCCCCTCCAATGTACTAGTTTTCTTTTTCTTTTTAAAGTATATATTTATTTGAAAGGCAGAGTTACAGAGAGGCAGAGGCAGAGGCAGAGAGAGAGAGAGAGAGAGAGAGCAGCTGAAACAGCCAGAGCTGTGCCAATCCAAAGTCAGGAGTCAGGAGCTTCCTCCAGGTTTCCCACGTGAAGGCAGGGGGAAAGGACTTGGGCCATCTTCTACTACTTTCCCAAGCCATAGTGGAGAGCTGGATTGAGGTGGAGCAGCCGGGACTCGATCTGGCACACATATGGGATGCTGGCACTGCAGGTGACAGCCCCCAACATACTATACTATTCTTTTTCAAATTCCTTATTGCCTGACTCACACCACTGTTAATAGAATTATTTCTCATTATATAGAAAGATCAATGAAATTCTAAATAAATATAAAATATGAATTATTTTATATGAAATATGATACTTTGCTAACTTCTTTTTTTTAATTCCTATGTTCAGTGGCTTTTGAGTATGGAGACTAGTTGGCCACCCCAGTGATTTCAGGGTAAGTACATAAAACCTGGGCTTCCAGTGGTGCTCAGTTAGGAGCAACAAAGCTTAAGAATTGGGGTGGGCACTGTGGCACAGGGGGGTTAAGGCCCTGGTCTGCAGTGACAGCATCCCGTATGGGTGCCAGTTAGAGGCCCAGCTGCTCCACTTCTGATCCAGCTCCCTGATAAGTGCATGGAAACCAGTGGAGGATAGCTTAAGTGCCAAGGGGCTAAGGGGGCTCATGCACCCACATGGAAACGCAGAAGAAGCTCCTGGCTCCAGCCTGGCCCACTCCATTGTTGTGGCCATTTGGGAAGCGAACAAGCAGATGGAAGAACCCCAACCTCCCCCCCCCCCCCGCCCCGGTAACTCTGCCTTTCAAATAAATAAAAGGCTAAAAAAATTTTTTTGAAAGTAGGTGCCAGGGTCTCCAGGGCAGGAGTCCCAATAAGCAGCACTGGATTGAATGATTGAAATGTGGCGCCTGAAACGTAGCAAAGGTGGTGAAGTCTTAGGCCCAAGCCTCTTGAAGCTTCTGGTAAACTCCTGTTTTATCTTTTGCAAACAAGTAAGTATAAGCAAAACAACAATCAGTTATATAAAAAAGACATCTAAAATCAAATGAACAAGAAGTCAAGATTTTGTTTTATTTTATTATTGGTTACAAAGACAGCAATAACATTAAAGGAATTCTCTGTGCTTCAGAAAATACAAATAGACTTCTTCTAAGAGTTGCTGAAGAGTCCATGTTAACTCCTTTTCTGGAAACTTCCTTCTCTTAGTTGTTGTATTCTTGAAGAGCCTGGGCCATGAAGAGTTTGCCCAAGTTCTGGGCAGTAAACTCCTTGATGTTCTGGCAGTAAGTATTAATTTGGCCTGTGCATTTGAGAAAGAAGAGTGAGTCGTAATGTTCCACAAATGGTAAAATCACCTGGAACACTGCTCAAAGAAGAAGATCAGCATAATAAAGAATCAGTACTATTTTGTTTTGTTTTTGAATCAAGAGTTTATTGTAAGAATCAACTGAATTTTTCCATTAGGAATAAAAAAGAACATAAGTTTTTTTCCCCTTAAATGACCTATCTTCCACTCTTGGTTATATTAAGAATGAAGAAAAACTACAACATTTTAAAAGGTTAGCAGTCGTAGGAAAATATTAGCTGTCAATGAAAATGCATTGCTTATGCAGATCAGATCAACACTGTACTAAGACAATGAGAAAAGAGCACTGGCCCTCCTCAGCAGGCAGAAAAGAGTAACTGACAAAACTGAAGCACAGAACTGCAGACCAGCTGGACCCACCTGCCCTAGATGGGAGCAAATTAGTAGGTTTTAGCATGTGTTTTTAAAATGTGTAAGAGTTTTCAGCCAAGACAGCAAGGATAGAGAATTTACTTGAAAGAAGGGCTCCATCACTTCCTTCTACATCTTAAAATTAATGATCTAATCCGATGACCAGCTACATATCTCTTGAAGGTATAAGCTGGATCTTAAGGAGACAATGTTGCCTTAGTTTCCCAAATTTAATTTACATAGGTACTAGGAAAGTTTAAGGATTTCATACATAGATACTAAAAATATTTCAATAAAACTGAAAAATTGTGAAAGGTCAGCTTTTCTCTGCGTAGGATTTTTATTCTAATAGAGCTTTCCCACAGATAACTAGCTGACTGAATCAAATAGTGTTTGACAATATTTGTGGAAAAATCAGATTAGCCCTAAACAATCCTATGAAGGTTATACACCCAAATCAAGTCTTACACAGGACACAAGACCTCTACCACTTAAAAGGGGTGTTAAAGGTTATACATACATATATATATATATATATACACACACACACACACACACCTAGAGAAAAGTTCATTCAGAATTATATTATGTCACCATTGAACTCAAAGCAAAGGAGTTATCTTCAAGTCAGAAAAGTCAATTCAAGTATCTGCTTTACAGTACTAGGCGAGAAGACAAAAAGTAAAGGGGGCTTCAGCTAAACGACCTTTTTGCATTATGAGCTTCTGTTTTTTCTTGGTTCTCACAAAAAATGACTCAAATAAAAGCTTTCCCTTTTAAAGAGCTTATAAAGCCATCTCAAAAATGTACATACAGCTTGAGTGAAGCACGAGGAATAAATATTTCTGAATTCCTAGGTGCTACATTCAAATTCATCCTATAACCTTCTTAAATATACTAGCTTTTACGCTTGGCATATTCTGTTAGTGACTTTCTCCCTGTCTGCTGCTTCCTAAAGAACAAAGAAAAGCAGCTATGTTTTGCACAGGCTTACAAAATACCTGCAATGAGCAGGGAGTCCATCCTGGCAGGTGGCTGGGGTGGTTTGAAGAGCTTGGACAGGTCTTCCTCTGGGAGTGGGGGTTCTCCTCGACTCTGGCGCTGCATATTCTCCTGCTGCCGACGCTGCTGATACTAAATTTCAAAGGGGGAGAAACAAGAAAGACCTCCTTCAAATAAACAGCCAAACCCTACTGCTCTGAATTCCAATCTGTTTTATAAATGGCAACATTTGCTAACTTGCTTTAAAAAACCTAAATGTGCTTTGTTATAACCTCTGGTGTCATTTTGAGATCTAAGAGTTTATATAACTAATGATCTAGAAAAAAACCTGGTTATGTAATTAACAGGGGTCTGAGAGACAAAGAACTCTTGATTATTGAGTCAAAGGGAATAACTTTATTATTGAATAATGGGATAAATGCCTCATCTTGACTGTAGTAAGAAAAGAACCACTATACTGAGCGATTCTTCAAACTGCATCCCTACTGACTTAGAACTAACATTATCAATGATGTCATCACTGTTGTGCTCATAATTATTACTACTTCTTAAAATATTTATTTATTTATTTATTTGAAAGAGTTACAGACAGTCTGAGGCAAAGAGAGAGAGAGAGAGAGGGAGAGAGAGGTCTTCCATCCACTGGTTCACTCCCCAGATGGCCGCAATGGCCAGAACTGCGCCAATCCTAAGCCAGGAGCCAGTAGTTTCCTCCAATTCTCCCACACAGGTGCAGGGAGGGGCCCAAAGACTTGGATCATGTTCTAACTTTCCTAGGCCATAGCAGAGAGCTGGATCAGAAGTGGAGCGGGGCCGGCGCCGCGGCTCACTAGGCTAATCCTCCGCCTAGCGGCGCCGGCACACCGGGTTCTAGTCCCGGTCGGGGCGCCGGATTCTGTCCCGGTTGCCCCTCTTCCAGGCCAGCTCTCTGCTGTGGCCCTGGAGTGCAGTGGAGGATGGCCCAAGTGCTTGGGCCCTGCACCCCATGGGAGACCAGGAAAAGCACCTGGATCCTGGCTCATGCCATCGGATCAGCGCGGTGCGCCGGCCGCGGCGGCCATTGGAGGGTGAACCAACGGCAAAGGAAGACTTTTCTTTCTCTCTCTCTCTCTCTCTCTCTCTCACTGTCCACTCTGCCTGTCAAAAAAAAAAAGAAGTGGAGCGGCCAGGACTTGAACAGGCGCCTTATATGGGATGCCTGCACTGTAGGTAGCCGCTTTATCCATTACACCACAGTGCCAGCCTCAATTATTACTATTCTTAACACACAATCGCCTCTGCCTTCACTCTACAGCCAACAATGAACAATGCTTCAGATAATGACTCAATACTTCCAAACTCTGAACTCCTATGATTCTCTGAAGAGGTGAGGAGATACTTAAAGGTTTAGATTGACCATAAAACTTACTATGTCAACTAAAATTAAGTGCTAATAGTTGTGGATTTTTCCCAGCAATGGCAGAACTATCTCATAAACAGATTTAAAAGGTCAGGCAATGAGAAGCCAGAGCTGTAGAGTCCTTGAATTCCTATGGAAATTAAGGGACTTGACAGTTTTTCCTAAAGAAGGGGAATAGTTTACTTTGTGAAGATTCCTGTACTTATTACAGGGCATGTGAGTGGAAGTGAGAGAACTCCAAAAAGGGGTATGAATGATGCTAAGTTTGAATAAACATCAAATACAAAATTTTAAGACATCAGAATTCTGAATAGTATCTATGAGACTGTTTTCGCCTCCAAGATGACAAGACATTCAGCTTGATCCCTACCTATGGAAGAACCAAAAGAATAATTAAATCAATTGGGGTTTTTCCTTACCTCCCCAGCTTATCAAAGATTTGTAACCACCATCTTGCCAGTTTAAAGGATATTTTTTAGTGGCCAGCGCTATGGCATAGTGGGCTGAACCTCTGCCTATGACTCTGGCATCTCATATGGGTGCTGGTTGGTGTCCCAACTGTTCCTTTTCCAATCTAGCTCCCTGCTAATGGCCTGGGAAAGCAGTGGAGGATGGCTCAAGTGCTTGGGCCGCTGCACCCAAGTGGGAGATCCGGAAGAAGCTCCTGGATCCTGGCTCTGGATTAGCCCAGCTCCAGCCAGTGCAGCCATTTGGGGAGTGAACCATCAGATGTTAGACCTTTCTGTCTGTCTGTAACTCTACCTCTCAAATAAATAAATCTTAAAAAAAAATATATAGATTTACTTTTTTTTTCCCAATTCAAATGCAGTAAAATCAAAGCTTATATATGAACTCAACAATTTAATCCAATACTCCCAGAACCATTTAATTATGATTGGAATTCTATATTTAGTTTACAGTACACTTTACTGAACACAGAGTAGTTACACATATAAACACACTTTCACAGAGAAGCATTTTGGATTAATTTATCTATGAATCAAATACTGAGAACATTTTGAGCCATATAGCTACAAAACAGTATTCCAGGAACTGTGAAAACCATGTGGCCTTCATGCAACACTAATAAGAAAAAGGTTAAATGGCCATGGCAGTATTTATGTGCTATGTTAGAATATTCAGGTAATTCTGAGGTCTGTATTATCTATCTGTTTCACAGCAGTTGGTCTACTATTTCCTATCAAACTTACTTGCTCTTAATCACAATTGCTCAGTTTTTTTAAATGAACTGAAGATTGCTAACTACGTTGCAATGAGCCACTACCAAACCAATTACAGTTAGTAAAGAAATGAGCTGCGACACTCTCAAATCTCTTTGCTTCTGATTTTCTCAATAAATGTATCTCTTATTTGCATAACCTTGGCATTACACCCTGAGCTTAATATACTGATTCTCTTTAAGAACAGGCATTTTTAAATACTAGGTGCAAATAATCTATTAGGAACACATTATGTAAAGAATAATGTTTTGAAATATGATACAGAGTTACTAGGAGACAGTTAATGTTTTACCAAAGGTAATTTAGATCATTCTGAAGCACCCTATTTATAAATACTTGAATTTTCCCATAATACCAACCTGATGTTTCTGCTGCTGCTGTTTACTTGTATTCCTCATGTATGTGTTATATTTAACTATATCTTGGCTCATTTCATCCACTCTGTCCATCAGCAACTGTAGATTTTTTCCCAAGTGATTGCTGAAATATAAAGGAATTACAATGACATTTCCTAGTTTTAAGTTATGGCTTGCTACAACTGTGAAGAATTCTGAAATGTTAATTTGATCTGCCTTTGGTTTGAAGAATGAGAGCACCCAAATGCATGCAGGCCAGGTGGAGGAAAGGATCTCTGATTCAGCTTGTGATTAAACTTTCCATATTGAATTGACAACTATAATCTTGGGGGCATCTGAAATAGCTTAGCTTCTCATTGTGAGAGCACAGGTATATCAGGGTAGGAACTGATACACATACCTAGGGAGAAGTATAAATGAAAACCAGTATCCCTGAATCCTTGTCCTTAACACCTGATCCCTGCAACGCATCCCAGAGCATTTACATCAGAAACCCTAGGCAAGAGCGATATAAACAGTCTTCTCGCACATGGCTATTCTACTCAGCAGGTCCTAAACAGGCAACATTTATTCTGCAAAGCCACAAGAGGCTCCTTTCCTCTTGCCTTTCCTAGAATCTGTACTAAAATCTTTCAAAAATTCTCTACAGAAATTTGCGTGTTTTAGCTATTGAAATCTTCTTATAAAGTGATGCTAGTGAGTGTTACAACAACCACCACATTCACTGAATTCCATGCACAACTATCGTACTATGGGAAAGCCTGGGAAGCTATCACACAACTAAGCTCTCAAAATAGCTATCTGACTACAGTAGTTGCCCATTCATTAATTTCAGATATACTTACTAAACTCCTATTATGTGCCAGCCTTGGTATTAAGAAAAAGAGAGACAATAGTGAATGAGGGCTGGCGCCACGGCTCACTTGGCTAATCCTCTGCCTGTGGCGCCGGTACCCCGGATTCTAGTCCCAGTTGGGGCGCTGGATTCTGTCCTGGTTGTTCCTCTTCTAGTCCAGCTCTCTGCTGTGGTCCAGGAGTGCAGTGGAGGATGGACTAGGTCCTTGGGCCCTGCACCCGCATGAGAGACCAGGAGGAAGCACCTGGCTCCTGGCTTTGGATCGGCGCAGCGCGCCGGCCGTAGCAGCCACTTGGGGGGGGGCGGGGGGTGAACCAATGGAAGGAAGACCTTTCTCTCTGTCTCTCTGCCTGTCCCCCCCCCCAAAAAAATATAGTGAATGAGAGATCTGCTCTCCATCTTCACTGAGCCTTCAATTAATTAGGATTGGAGGAGAAGAGCAGATACTTCCTTTAAAGCAGGGTCACAACATCTCTGGGGAGAGAAGAGGCTGAAGGTGAGAGACTAAAGAATCAACCATGCCAAGGTATTCTGGGTAGAAGAAAGTACAAGTGGTGAAGGCCTCAGAAGTGCAAGAATTAGGTAGATTTGCTAACAGAAGAGGTCCAGCATGGCAAGAGCACAGTAATCAAGTTACAGCAGCCAGGCAAATGTGCATGGGAAGCCCTTTAGCACCACGCAACCTCCCAGCATTATAGTTTTAGCAACTGAGAACTCCCAATTCTGAAGTGAATGGTGCTCTGGAGTTATGCATGTTTTGGTTTCAATTCTAAAATGATCACACTGCTGCTATGCAGACAGATCACAGAGCAGAAACCAGACTTAATGTAGGATTCCACTGATATGAAATGTCCAGAATAGACAAATCTATAGAGACAGATAGCAACTACTGGCTGCCAGGGGATAGGGAAACGGAGTGTGCTTAACAGGGACAAGGTGATGAAAACATTCTGGAAACACTAACAGTTGCACAACACTGTGAATATGCTAAAACCACTAACTTGTACCCTTTAAACTGGTGATATTTAGGGAATTTTATCTCTAGTTAAATAACTGCAGTTCCTTAAAAATTCTACCGTAGCACTCAAACAGAATGGATGGTGGACTCAACTGGGTTTGTAGTGGCAAACAGAGCAAGAAGGGGAAAGAATTGATTTGTGAAGGCAAAACAGGTGATCTTCAGGGGCTAGGAGAGAGAATCCAAAGCCAAAGCACAATTTCTGGCTTGAGCAGCCAACTGGGTGGTTATCACATTTACAGAAAAGGAAATCCCTGAGGAATAAATGGTGTTGGGATAATAGGCATGAATAAAAATTAGTCTAATTAAAATATGGATTCCACCTGTAACCTGAAGAAAATTAGAAATTTTCACCTCTTTCTCAAATGGTGGAAACAGCATGGAACTGATGTGGCTAAGAAGTTTACCCCTTAATCCCAAACTGCCACTACCTCGATTAACTTTGGCCCAGTAATTTTGCTTAATGACTTCACCTGTGTAATAAGTCAAGTACTTCTCTAATGTTATTTCATGTTGATGTTATTTCACTACAGTTTTATGAACCACTTTTAATGGGTAAAGCATTTCTTTTTTCGGGATGACAGATAAGTTAACTAATCAAATGTTCAGATCCACTGATTAGAAAGTCACATTGTTTTCCCAAGTAACTCCTGGTCACTGTAATATATACTGAAAAATGAATTAAGTTATTGTTGCACTAATACTACGTGAGAAGAAAGGAATGCAAATAAAAACACAACACAATGGCAGTATGTGCTACAATTGCTTGTACCTCAGAAGAATACAGGACTTTTTAATAAAATCAGGTGAAACCTTTCCTCATTACCTGATGACTAAATCTTGAGATTTTTGAGGCGAGTCAAAATGGGGGTGATGGGAAGAGAATAACATTGAAGATATTGGGCACAAATAGTATGTTCATGCACACAGGCCATGGCCTGAAAAATCTGATACATTTAAAGAACTGTCAATAACTAAGTATTCCAGGAGCTACACTGGGAAAGCTGGGAAAAGGAGAGTTAATAAACTATAGAGGCAGATACTGACCACAGTGCACAGACTTTGGAAGCCTGGACTCTACCTTGAGATTTTACTCTAAGAACAATGGGGAAACTACCAAAGATTTTAAGCAAAAGAGCAATAAGAACATCCAATTTGCATTTAGCACTACAATTCAGAAAGAAAAACAAAGATTGGATTAAGACAGTGTAGTACGAAGGGAACTTGCCGCTTTAGTCTAGAAGATGGTTTAAAAGAAGTGGAAAGAGTGAAATCTCAGGGAAAAGTTAGGGGAGAAAATGGCACAGGAAAATCCAGAAAAATCGGAGGTACACAGTGGGCCTACGTGGAAAGCAAGGAAACCCACAACTCAGGAACCCAGTAGCTAAGAACCTCCGCACCAGCACTGGAGAGTGAGGTGAGACCAAACTGCAGCAATCCAAGCCACAGGTGAAAGAGCTGCAGGAAGAGCCTAGAGGGAATCCAGCTTGGAGCCCTATGGGAGATAGGGTACCTGCCAAGCTAGAGGAGAAAAAAACAAAGGGTGTGTGTGTGTGTGTGGCATGTTTTCTCTCTCTCTGCGATCACCCTGCAACAGCGTCCTTTAACAAGCTGATAGTGAACAGGCATCATTTTGGACATATATAAAAGCTGCGCCAGCTCATGTCCGCACCCAGCAACTAGCCAAGAAGAGACTCCTGAGACTGGTGCGGAGAACAGACAGGGGGCTGGGTGTTCATGGAGGCTTGTGTGCCAGAACTATGAAAACACTGGGGCTGCGTGGGTAAACTCAGGGTGTCTCTGGGACTTTGAGTAGTCACTTTGTGAGGCTCAACATGATCAGGGCTCCCTGGTTATCTGGCAAAGGACATTGCTAGGGAATCGAAGCTTACACTGAGGACTACACAGATTCTCAGTGTGGCCCTTGTGCAAGAGCAGACCAATACTATACCCATGGGCTAAAGCCCATGCACTGGTCTCCTTTGAGGAACGGAGCTCAGCTGAGTGTATACCAGCAGACAAAAACAAACTTCCCCTCTGATTAAAACAAAAAAAAGGGTGCGGGGTGGATTTACAATGCCAAATGCGGGTGTGGCAACTCAGACATACCCTTACCCTGGAGTGCTGAACAGAACTCCTTGGCCAAACCCAACACACAACTGTAGGTATTTCCTGAAAGTGCAGACACTCCACTAATCCATTTCGACATGGAAAGAAGGAAAGAAGGAAAGAAGGCAGGAAGGCAGGAAGGAAGGAAGGAAGGCAGAAAGAAAGACAGAAAGACAGACAGAAAGACAGAAAGAAAGAAAGAAACCATGAGTATCTCCACAAATGCTGAATAACAAACACACAAATCCAAGAAACAAGAATAATGAAGACACCATGATGCCCCCAAAAGAACAGGAGGAGATTAAAGGGACAGCCAAGTACAGGAACACAAAGAATTCCTAATAGACATGACCAGGAAAGATCTTCACCACAACACATTGTAATCAAACTCTCTACAGTAAAACATAAAGAAAAGATTCTAGAATGTGCATGAGAGAAATGCCGAATCCACCACATATCTCATACACTCACAGCAGACTTCTCATCAAACACCCTACAGTCTAGGAGAGAATGGATAGATATATTCCAAGTCACAAGAAAAAGAATTTACAACTCAAATACTATACCCTGCAAAGCTCTCATTTATGAACAAGAGTGAAATAAAGACCTTCCATGACAAACAGAAATTGAAAGAATTTGTCACCACTCATAAAGCCCTATAAAACATGCTTAATGATGTGCTACACACAGAAATACAGAAACATGGTCATTACTACAAAAAAGGTAAAGGAAGAAAATTTCCCAGTAAAGGATAAAGGAACTCCAAAGTAAAAAATAGAAATATTCATTCATGGAAAAATGGCAGGGCAAAGGCGTTACTTATCAATAGTCACCTTGAATGTTAATGGCCTCAACTCCTCAGTTAAAAGACACAGATTGCCTGAAAGGATTATAAAACAAAACCCATCTATTTGCTGCCTAAAAGAAACACATCTCACCAAGAAAGATTCACATAGACTGAAAGTGAATGAATAGAAGATATTCTATGCTAACAGAAAACAAAAAAAAGAGCTAGTACAGCCACCCTAATATCAGACAAAATAGACTTTAACACAAAAACTGCTAAAAGAGACAAAGGGCACTACGCAATAATTAAAGGACCAATTCAACAGGAAGATGTAACTATTATAAAAGTATATAT